AGTGTTACATTTGGTTTGCTGGTGGGAAAGATTTGGGTGGCCCAAGTGGCTTATTTCCCAGAAAGGGCTAAAACAGGGAGAAGCTACCACTGCAGTAGCACTGAACTACCTCAGCTGGTTTCTCTGGGTTCAGGAGTTAGCTCCGAGTAGTGTGAATAGAGAAATACAACACAGAAGTGAAACCAGCCTGGTTTTCTTTTTGAAGAAACTGCCTAACTCTGTTTATGCTCAGCAATAACATAGTCAAATGAGCGGGAGCGATCAGAACAAAGCTGTGAAGACCAGGGAATTAAATCTGCAGGTCTTTGTGATAAATAGAAGCAAATTCCTGCCGACTGTAAGGCTGGGAGCTTTAAATGAAATCTTTTACCTCCTTTCAAGTGGCATGACTTAGCCTTTGAAATGGGTAGAGCTGCGGGTTTGTGTAAACCCCCTTAAAACCGGGAGAATAGGTTAAGTCTCAGGTAACTAGCAACAGAGGGTTGTCAAAACTTGTGAATAAAGCCTGTGAATTTCTGTAAGTGTATATAATGAAATGCACGTGTGAAGATATTTGAAAAGAGAAGTGCAAAATACTTACAGGTAATAACTCGTCAGATTGCTAGTGTCTGCTGAAGAGAGAAAACAAGCATAGCTTCTGTGAGGTGTTACCAGTTCTGCCAGTGACGCTGCTCTTTGAAAGGCTTTGGGTACACATCTTGGCTTATAATAACCTCATTTATCAGGTGACAACTCTGTGCAAAATATAATGTAAATGGCATGGTTTGTTAGTTGCCTTAGTCTGGCAGAGCATATTTGGGTGCCATGAACTGTAGCAGCTGCGTGAATAGTTTACTTGCTTGCGGGTTTGCATAATCTTGGGTCAGCTCCTGTTGCCGGTGCGCAGTACCCTGGCAGGGGACCACTGACAAGTGCCAGCTATTCCCGTGCCCCCTCCCCTCTTATCCTAAGGAGCTGTGTGGTTTAGGGGACATGATGAGTGGGAGTCAAAAGGAAGCTCAGTGTTTTGCCAGTTTTAATTTTTGCAATTTGCATCCTCTTTCACGGTAACTGCATACAAATGTAAGGTCAGAAGAGTCCCTCGCTCTTAAAATGAATAACAATAACCATAGCGCATCCTTGTTTCAAGTATTGAAAATGGAAACACATTGTTTTATTGTGCAATCTGCGAACACACCTTCTCAAAACGCCTGAACGAAACCTATAGTAACTTCCTGCGGTATTTTTGTCTTCTGCATTGAGCGACATCTGCCCATACTCAGCCTTTGAACAATATCGCTTACAGTGTGAATGGAATTAAAGTATACAGCTGTGCCTCTGTGCAACTACACATTTATCCAACTGCCTTTTTTTCAGCAGTATTTGTTTTTATTTGAGCCTCGACACAGAGTGCTAGATGACCAGAGACCTGCGGCTGTTCTGAGAGGGTTTCTCTTTTGGAAATATGCTAAGTACAGCAGAGAGACTGAAGAGAAGAGCAGATGCAGGCAAAGGAAGCTAAACAAACATAACTAGTCCTGTAGGCATATTCATAACATTTTTCCCTGTGGTAGTACCATGGGAACGCCATAGCAGATGCTGAAGTGGAGATTCTAGATAGCCAAACATCTTTAGAGGAAACTTATTAAGGAGCTTTCATCTAAGCTAATATTTTCAGTCTTTGAGATTCCTATGATCTCTAAATCCTTCAGTGATTTGAACTGTAATAAAACTTCATTTAGAATTTCTGTCTGAACTCCCTACTCCTCCACAGGAGCTCTGTGCGGGATGAAACAGAGGAATGGTGGAAAACATCAAGTAAACACTAAGCTTATTAAGTCCTGCAACCTCAAAGAGCTTGGCTTCAAGAGCAGCCCAGACTGGGAGACGGCCTGTCTAATCACCTTCTCAGTGAGCAGGGGTTTATAAGCCTCTTCATGTCTAAAGGCAAGAATTCTGTAGAAATGTCTTGTCTGGTGATCTGTTAAGCAACCATGTCTTCAGTATGCAGTGTTACAAGAGAATTAAGCAAATGGAAATCCAGAACAGGTGAAGTTAAGAGAAGTAGGTTGGGTCAGCTGTAGTGAGGTAGGTGACACACATCCCAAGTTCCTGAAGAACACCTCGCTCTTGCGCAGGTGGTGTGAAGGCTTTGTGGGATTTTTCAGTGCCTCGAATGACATGCAGCTGTCAAAATGGCAGTCGTAGTACATCCCTGGGAGCGTTCACTCTTCTGTAAAATCAAGGGACCACGTGCCGCTGGTTTTGGTACCTTGGATGCGATTCCTCTCTCTGTATATAAGTACCTACAGCTGCTCCAGCTGGGGCAGAGGTCTAGAACCAAAGGATGCATTTGACCACAGACCTGGTTTTTAAAACCTCACTTCACCTACAGTGAAAGAACCAGAAACAAAAGATACCTGTAGAACTACCTGTTCGATTCTGAAACAGGCCATACCAGATGTATCCAATACCACTAGGTACCACTATGCTCTGTAATCCGTGTGCTTTGTATTGCCTTTTTGACTGCCAGCACGGATTTATGCTGGATTAAAGTGACGGTATAACCACAGATTTAGGGACAGAAATACAGCAGAACCTGTCTTTATTTCAGTGCTTTAAGAGATCTTCTGGCAAGCCATTTAATTATTTAAATGCTTTGCAAGAAAACTGAAGAGTCCTGCTGCTCAGCCTTGCTTTTACCTCTTTGATACCAGAAAAATATACTGTTAGTATGTGCTTGGGTATTTTTGTTTTATTGCACACAGCCATGTATGTGTTCAGCTGTGTCTGAACCCCTGTAAGAATCTCTGCCTTGAACAGTCTCGCTCGTGTCTTTTTATAGCTGTTACTCAATATATTGTTATAAAAGTGGTCAGTCCAAGTTCTTTTGGTTAATCCATAAAACACTGCAAATGTAGATACTCAGTGTATTTTATTTCAGTGTATATTTATGTATTTTATGTAGATTCAGTGTAGTTTATTTCAAAATTGTCGCACCGTAAAACACTTATTCTGGGGCTGCAGCTTTAGTGGTGGTTCTTAACATCATCTTTCATTTGTCTATTAAACAATTCCAGCTGGCAGAGGAGGTCGGAGCACTTCCATAAATGTTCCCACGATCCCAAAGTGAGGAGCTTGACCTTGTGACCAAGTGCCAGCTTTCCTTTCTTGACGTAAGAGATAGCGGGAGGTAAAGACAATACTTGGTAAGAAAGGTCCCCTGCCTGAGTTTGGCAGCTGGAGCTGGGCAGGCATAGGCCATCCAAATAGTATTTTTCTCGGGGGCCTGAAAGGTTAGTAGCAACAAGTGAGTAGTTTTCGCTTCCCCTGAACATCTAATGTAGAGAAGTAAAAAGTTTTTAAAATCTTGGCCATCGCTTTTGTGCCCAAATGTGATGATAGTCTGTTCGGCGATTGATTTGTAGTCGCTTTCCAAGATAAGTAACTTCACTCCAGACTCATTTTAGCCAAGGGTTTGCTTTTCACGTTATCCAAGTATTGAAAGAATATGGCGGGGGTTATGTACATTACTTGAATGCGTCCTCCTTCAGTGACGACAGGTGACTCGTAAACTTCTGTTCTTGGTGTCAGTGCATCCTGCTTTTCAGGTTGAAGAGTCAGATCTTTAGGAGACTGTTGCAGATCCGTGGGAGCTGATGCCTACCTGTCTGTAGAGCTGGAATATTTTGCAAAGATTACGTCCTATAACGTGAACCGGATGAGAAATAAATATATAATCTCCCCAGACCAGGCTGTCTGACTTGCTGGCTGTAAAATATTAATCTTCTGATAGTGAATGGGTAGTACCTTTTCACAACAGCTTTCGTAATGGATGTCTACTCAACGGAGAGCTCCCTCCTTTCCTCGTTGCTGGGGTCTAGCTTAATTGCAGGAAACTTTGCTTCCTGTTTCTCCCTGACCTGGGGGCTGCTACTTGAATAACGTGATAATGTAACTGCTTTAGTTTTGAAGCCTTTCTTAAATAAAACTTTTGGAACTTGGCAGAACATGGGAGGGAGAAATTAAAGCTAAGCTCGTTGTATATGGGTGGCTAGAAATAGCAAAGAAAAAAGGGAGGGGAAGAAGCAGTGAAAACAAACTGGCTATGCTTCAGCTGCCTGGTGACCTGCTGATCAAAGTAACTCGTGCAGATTTTGGGTGCTGTTAGGCTTGCAGGAAAGTGTCTGTTTATATCTGTTGGTGAGAAGGAGAGCTAAAGGTTATGTCAAGAGCGTGGTTCAGCTCATCAAGTGTGTGCGGTAATGTCTGTTGCACATTTTCTGACTCTGAAGTGGAGTTTAAGGGGTTTTTTGTGTCAGAACTGGATGTGAGACTAGCTGCAATAAGCCCTTTGGAGTGTGTTGCTGTGATTTCTCGAAATAAGTAAAGTCCCTGATTTCTCAGATACAGGCAGCTTTTGGGGTGTGTTTTGTAGCAAGAAGGAAATAATGAATCATATTTTGTGTGCGTGTTTCATTCAGTTTTTTTGATAAAGCTGAAGGAGGGAGAGAGAGCTCTGTGTTGGAACAGAATTTGTCTTGGATACTAGTTATCTCAAGCTCAAATGGCACAGCACAAATGAGGAAGTGTTAAAACTGCTTCGGGAGAAGGAACTTTCAGTTCCCTAACCCAGATTATTATTCAGATAGCACGGAAAACAATGCATTGAACGTTTACACAAACGTTGGAAGCGGTTTTTGGCGAGGTAAGGACTGGACTCCTTTCCATCAACAGCACGGTGTTAAATTGGTGGCGTGACATCAGTTAAAGCTGCGCTCTTAAATCCATAGTCTAGAACACTTTTTGCAATACCAAGTCAATAATCCGTGACCAAGTGGTACTGAACTTTATTTAAATCTATTTGTATTAATACAAAACATGCTGCTGCTTAGAATTAGAAACTGTATCTCTCATATCAGAGGAGTCAGCAAGTACGGCAGTTCTTGTGTGTGTATGTGAGTGTGATGTATTACCTGTACGTATTGTGACGGAGGGATGTTCTTGTTTCTACAGAGTGACCAGCAGCTGGATTGTGCCTTGGATTTGATGAGGCGTCTGCCTCCGCAGCAGATAGAGAAGAATCTCAGTGACCTCATTGACTTGGTGAGTATTGGATGCTCTGACCAAGTAATGGCTGAGTCCTGGGTGTGACGAAGATCTGGTATGTAAGAACATTTTCTGAAGCATCTCAGAGGTGTGGTCATTTGTTTCTCTCCTTGGCTTCTGGCAAGGTTGAAGAATACAGCAATCGCCCAAACAATGTCAGGAATCTACGTTTTTATTTTGGGCAAGCCAACAGCTACTACTTTGTATGCATGGACGTCCTTTTGGATGAAGGGTCATCAGCAGCTTTCTTGATGAAGTCACCACCAGCTTGGTGGCTGCCGTTTAGCAAAAGTACTTTGGAACAGTTTATACCAGGTTGATGCATGCCTTTGTACGTGCGTATTGTCTCCTGATAAACTACCTGCCTGTTTGTAGTTTGGCGCAGGACTTGCGCGGTAGGTACAGTGGATGTGCTATGGCGCATACTTCAAAGACATTACTGAGACAGAATATGTCAGAACACTGGGGTTCTGGAGAACACCCAAATCTATTCATAATTTATGCTATATCAGGTATTCTGCTGTCCAGGGAGTAGCCAAAAAAAAGCCTGGCCAACCATCTTGTGCCCGATACCTGTTTTCCGCTTGCCCCCAAAACATTTGTTTTCCTTCTATAAACTGCTAATGAAGAAAACTAACTTAAGAAGGATGCGTGTGCTCATTACTAGTTGCGCAGGAATTAGTTGCACATCCTGTGATGCACGATTGGGCTATAACAGGCTAGCTAGTGTCAACTGTCCCTGAAAGCAGCGTGTGGCACAGTTGCCTCTGGAGTAACTTAAAGTATTACTGAAATATGGATTTAATCTATGTAGAACCTACTATATGGGCAGCTGGGAAAGTTTGTTTCTATTGTCTAGTCTAAACATGTGGCTTATTTCTGACCTAAGCTTCTAAATTTTTGCAGACAGAGGACATTGAGGCTGGAACAGGGCTGTTAGACCTTTCAATTAAGCCTTTCCTCTTATCTGTACTGAGAAGTACATCCTTTTTATGTGGCAGGTCTGAATTTTATGCATGATGCTGACAAACCTTGTCCGAGAGACTCTAAAAATCTGCCGGTTCTGCACAGAGCAGCTATTTGAACTAGTGCCTCTTAATTAAATTGTTTAAATTGTGTCCGAGGTGTTTGTCATCTTTGTGTGCAGAAGAGCAGCTGCTTACCAGATAAAAGTTTAGTTGAGGAGGTCTGTTCCTAAGTGATATTGAAGTTGGTGTTAGTAAACCTGGGAGGAGTCCCATGGTCAAAAAGCTGTGGCTGACTTAAATTTATCAAACTCTATTTAAATACTGCTTTTAGTTACATAAGCCGAGGTACAGGTAAGAAAGCTCTGTGGGTCAGGAAAGAAATTATTCCCTGCGGGAAGGGATTATTTCTCTTTCTTGAAACCATTTAGTAATTGGCTACATCTGTGCCACCAAAACTCTTGGCAACCTAAGGCATCATTTTTGTGGCTGTTGCTGGAGGTAGGACACAGAATAACTAAATCATTGATATGATCTGCTGTGACACGGTTGGTTTTCTGATGAAATCTGGAGGACTGAAGGGATATCAGGGTTTGAGCAGCTCCGAGGACCGCTCAAAACAATGAGTTGTTTGGGGAGCCATGGTAAGCTTGACTGTATAATTGGTATGAGGTTTTTTTAATGGCTCAGAAAATTGCTGGTTACCTCTAAATGCTGGAATTACTTTTGGATGGTGCTCATTAGTGCTCTACATGCTTTCCATCAGCAACACGCTCGCTGGGCTTCTTTTCATATTGCAAGTGTAACGTGAAACAGACCAGTTTGAATGACGCTTGTTAGAAGGAGGGTCTGTGTGATTCCCACACTAGTCACTGCAGTCTCTTCTCTGGGGTGGAGATGAAATAATTTGTTAAATCCAGTATGATCTCTTTATTGGTGAGACATCCATAGACCTCTTCTGCAGCCCACTCTCAGCCTGACGTCCACAAGAAGTCTACGCTCTAGCTAGACAAGAGCAGTTATACACTGCCACTGCCACCTGTAATAGTTCCAAAAACATCATAAGCCAGACTCAAGCAAATAGTTTTTTGACCTTTTTTGGCAAGTTTCATCCAAACCTTTGCAGCTGACGTTTTTATTCTGTTTCCTGTACCATTACCAGACAATAACCTCCTTGAAGTAAAAGGTCAGACTCCAAACGCATGACGAGCATGAGGAGGTTCATTAAACTTGTGATGGAATTATAAAAGATGGCACCCTGACTTCTGCTTCCTTTGTGCTTGGTTTCCTTGCTTCATTACGCTGCCATGCTGGAGTAGGCATGAAGCAGAGACCTGCGTCATTTTGTTTTCGTTGTGAAGCGTAGGTTATTACTTGAAGTCTGCTTGCAGCTCAGCTTTCCATAGTTTTTTTTGTAGGAATTGATCTCCGGACTGATGAGTGTAGCTACTGTTTTGATGCTTGCTTAAGATCCGTTGAAAGGAGCTGAAGATGACTTAAAAATGTCTTCGTGTGCAAAAAGAATTCCAAAACTACTACAGTGAGGAACAGACATCTACTTCCTGGGCTTGTATTCCTGAAGGATAACCGCACTAAAAGTTCTCCCTGAGGTCCCTCTTACTCTTTGCTTTTTAATAAAAGAGCAGTTTGGTGCCAATCTGAGTATATGGAATACATTCAAGACTGTGCATTACTGCCCCCAAGTGTTGGGCTGACAAGGGAAAGGGTCCAAACTTGAACATGAAGGAAAAGGGTGGGTGGAAGAAGAAAATTTTCAGGTCACTGGCCCTCATCAGACCAGACACTTTTCATTCATTAGCAAAACACTTTGTGGTTTGCCCTTTTACCACATCTGTTGTTGCATTTTTCAGACTGCCGAGTCTTCAATTAGAGTTCATTAGAGACCTTGTCAATCATAGGACTCCAGAAGTCCTGCCTGAAAGAAGCTGTGCGTGGTGCTGGTAATGTGCCTTGGCATGGAATGCTCTGGTTGGAATTCAATTAGTCGTTATTTGTAAATAGACTACTCCGAGCCTGTCAAAAATGTACAAGAGGACTTCTAAATCTCTACAAAAAGACTGTAGTGTAGGCACATACCTTTTTAAGGACAACTAATTTAAATTAGAATAAGTTTCCATCTAGCTCCTCTGGAAACTGGGGTAACCGAAGCCGTGGAGCACCTACCTGTCAGCCAAGTCCGAACTGTACAGCAGTTCCCGTAAGAGGAGTGCTAAAGGTGATGGCACTGCTCTTACGTGGAGTTTTCATGAGGATACGCCAAGGGATAGCACTTGTAACGTTAATACAGATTTCAGTTGCGTAGCGCAAATACTGTCTCACCTCCTTATCGCCTCACGTTGTCCAGAAGTTGCTGCTGTTGATATACTGCGCTTCTCATCGAAGTCAGCTGTGAATCAGATCTGTCTCATCACTTGCTGAAAGGAGAATATTAAGGATATTTTCTGGATGGAAATGTTTCTTGTATCAGAGATCTTGTTTTGGCTCATGGAAATCACAGATTGGCATGAAGTAAGGAAGCTGGTAGAGCTCACTTCTGAGTGGCTAAATGGTTTATACTGAAAGATCAGAACAATCTGAGAGAATTGTCCTCCTGCTTCCTCTCTCTTAAGATAAGTTGTACAGTAAGTCAGTCCCCAGGTACTTTTAGCTGTGTTTTTTCCAAGAGAAACCCCGAAGAAGGCGTCAGCTTTCAGGTAGTGCTGTTGTGGAGGATCTCTTCCTCGGACACCGTGGAAGCACACGTAACAGGGTCGGTGAGCGGTAGCTGGGGTCACAGCCGCCAGAATCCTTTGGGTTTTTTTTGCAAGACGGCTTCACTGATGTGTCTTAGTGGGGTGCATCTCTGGGAAAGGTGGAAGATGGAAGTTGGATTTATAGCGCTCACGGGCCATGTGCAGCAAATAAGGGGTCTGTGACAGGATTGTCTTGATGACTTTGACTTGAGTATGGAAGTTGATGTGCTCTCAATGTTGGTAAAAGTTAAGCAGGTTCCTTTTGCAAGTACAAATTTCCTG